TTTTTACGTGCGCTCAGAATAGTGGCACAAAAATAACGGCATATTTTTTGGGGCTTACAAACATTTTCAAACCTTTCTGAAGTTTAAAAATATTGAGCCATTATATTTCAGTATTTGATTTCGTGTTTGTGCGCCTGCTGCGTACGTCTGATCATAACGACACTCAGTGGCCTCCTTATGTGAGTGTCCGTGTTGGTAGAACGAGGCAGTGTTAGTGGAGACAGGTCTGAGCTTCATGATGTTAATGGAGAGAGGTGTGGTGATGATGAGGATGACGAGGAAGCTTTGGTACGTGTTCCAGATGCAGCGGCGGTCACGGCCGACGGTTCACGTGGATGGCTTCCTGTACGACGACGAGCAGGTGGACTCCCTGTGTGAACGGGGGCTGATGAGCCGCAACTACTGCCTCAGCTGTGGATCCCACAGGACTGCACCTCTGGGTGGGAGCACATCACCACTGCTCACCTTTGTTCAGGTCTACATGTTTAGCAGCTGTAGCTAGCTGGCAGACTCATGTGTGTGAAGAAGTGTTACATTAAGGAAAAAGATGACAGCTGTTTAAAGACAAACCGGCACAGTCGCTGTTCCCTCTGACGTAGTCAAGTCTTACTTCAGGATCGGTTTGAATAACAAGAAAGCAAACGGTTTGTCTTTTAGCTCACAAACACAGTGCGGTGCTCAGTGTAAGAGTGTGAACACATGCAGCAGAAAGCTGCTAACCCTGACAGGCAGATGCAGGGTTGTGTTACAGCCTCGTGCAGTAGAGACGATGTTTGTTAGAACGCACTACACTTGTAGTCAAGCCCACCTAAACCCAGACCGAGACCAGAGGGTATCGAGACCGAGAAGTCTTTAAACTGCAGCCAGATGCTGCTCCGTTTACGGGTCTCAGGCATATTTATGTGTTTCTGCGACGCACAGCCCTCCTCACCGCTGTCCACTGTCTCACTCACTGACAGACGCACGCTCCACTTGACTGTCGCGTCCATCACCCTCTCTGTGTTTCACATAATGATATTGCTATTTTGTTTTCTCCTTCTCTAAATGCGAATGTTATTTTCAGCATGGAGATGGTGGCGGGCAGAGTCCTTTTGGTGACGGCTGACATTGGAGGTTTTATTTTTACTTTTGTTAATGTCTATGCACCGAGCTCAGGGGCGGAGCGTGGGATTTTATTTAAAACATTGGAAGAAAAATTAAGCGGTGCTGCTCAAGGGGACTGTGTTGTGTCGGGTGGGGACTGGAATTGTTGTCTTGACTTTACTTTGGACAGGACTGGGGCGGAGCCGCATCTTCAGTCATCTTCTGCTTTGACAGATGTCCTACGGACAATTAACTTGGTTGATGCGTGGCGGATGAAGCATCCCTCATCCAGGCAGTATACCTGGGTGAAAGTGACTGATGGCAGGATTGGTGCAGTGAGATTAGACAGGTTTAATGTGTCTGTTTCATTTACTGCTCGAATTTTTAACTGTCAGTGTTTTCCTGTTGTTTTTACTGATCATCATTTAGTTTTACTGGAGCTGTTTCTATCTCCCACCAGCAGATCCAAATCTTTTTGGCGGTTTAATATAAAATTATTACATGATCGGATATTCTGTGACAATTTTAGGTGTTTTTGGGATTACTGGAGATCACGGAAGGGTGATTTTGATTCCCTTACTCAATGGTGGGAGGTAGGAAAGGCCCAAATTCGTGTGCTCTGTCGGCAATATAGTTTTCTTTTGACGGCCAATATCATGAGAACTGTGCAGGAACTTGAAAAGGAGATAACACGTGTGGAGACTGTCTCTGGTTCACAGTTGGGTCAGCAGGATAATGCCTGTCTTCATTCTAAAAGGCAAGAGCTTAACCATTTTTTACATGAGGGAACTAAAGGAGCTTT